GGGAGTTGTTTACGCTCAGTCACTCCCAGAACCGACGATCTACTGTTCGGTTTTAGTTGTCCGGATCCGGTGATCTACTTGCCGGACTGCGCCTCCGGACTCCGGCCCATTCATGGCTGCGCTGCACTTGTCTGGGAGTCACTTGCATATTACTTACATTCTACGTTTGTTTCACCTTATTAAATTATCCTTAACAGTCTGGCCTTCCACGCCTTATCATATCTACTTGTTTATATTCGTTGGGATACGTTCTATCGCCTATTATCTGGCCGGACCACATCGTATCCCACAACTTCATCTGTTAACAGTTCGAAAATACACCGGTGTATTTGAAATTTGCCAAAGGCTCTCCTGCTTCATTAACACATCAACACGGGAATGGCTTTCACCGACCCACCCAGCTGCTAGAAAGAAACACAACCGTCCCTCACTGAAATAAAACTCAAGGCAACATTGCTACAACCGTCAACAAAATGTCAACATAATTGTGTAAGAGTTATACATTGATATTCTGTGAAATTCAATCTGCTGTATACTTTTAACTGTTATATGACTCACGCTACGACGAGATGCAGTTGAAAAGCCGTCGCGAAATTTGTTGAATTTAATAAATCCTGCTGTGTACGCTTTTTTTAAATTCATATCGGGGAACGGCTGCTTCAAATTACGCATTTTACTTATTAACTTCAAGGATTCAAGGAAAAGAATGCTTAGCAGGCAGAATATGATTCTAGGTTATTTTATAGACAAACGTACACCGGAAAACAACGTCCCTTGTATTCGGACAATTTTCTGCGCTGCAGACCACATTCGCGCCTCTGTACATGTTGCTTTTTTGTAGAGGGCGCTAATTTACATGGAACTAATTTATCAAAACAACCACGGGTAACATGAAGATTTTTTGTAGGGGTAAGCGTAAACCAGGTCGCTTAAAATGTGAACAGGCAGGTTATTTACAGAAAATCCGAGGCTTTTCCCTTACAAATTTTAATTGGCAGATAAATGAAAGCTTCTACCCCCAAAAGGCCTGTAAGCCATTTTTAATGTAAAAACAGTCGCGATTTCCTGGCAGATACAACAACGCCAAAGGAAAGTGCGAAAAGCCCCACCACCGAGCAGCCATTTTGAATTATTTTATGCGCAGTTTACTTTCTGATAATACGAAATTTTGAAATGGAACGCGCACAGTTTTAACAGACGGCCAAAAAGAGTCGAAGAAAAAAGGTTGCTCTTAGATATGCAGTGGAAAAAAATCACAATACGTCAGAAGAGTGCAAAGGTGGACAGCATATATGCTGACTTTGTTGAATTTCTGACAAAGATGAGGGACGTAGACAACTATGTAAGTACCCTAGTTGAACATGTTTCTAAGAAGATAATAT